CATTATGACAAGAGGTAAAGACTTGACAAATTTACAAAATGTACTGATTATTAAGTTCAGGAAAGAAGATAAAAGTTACAGGAATATCTCAAACAACCTGAATCTTTCATTTACTAACATTAGTTCATTCATTGCAAGGTATGAAATAATGCAAAACTGTTGAAAACCAAAGAAGAATAGGTGCTCCATATAAGATTTCTGCAAGACCTTTGAGGAAATTAATATGTCAAATTAAACAAAATCTAATGGTTACTCATCAAGAGTTGCAGAATGATTTGCTTTGATCAGGAATTTGTGTAACTAAATGGACAATAAACAATGAAATCCATAGGAACAATCAAAAGTCACACTGCCTTTGGAAAATTCCATTGCTATTGAAAAGACACAGATGCCAGCTTGAAATTTGTTCATAAACATAAGGATAAGGGAAAATCGTATTGGGAAAGAATATTATGGACAGATGAAAACAAAAATGAGTTGTTTGAACATAATTCTAGAAAACATGTATGGAGGAAAGATGACGATGACTTCAAACAAAAGAATGCAGTTCCAACAGTGAAATTTGATGGTGGCAGCATCATGATTTGGGGATATTTTCTGCAAAAGGTACTGGAAACATATCAGTAATAGTTGATAGAATGAATGCTGCAGCATATCCAAATATTTTGGAAGCAAATTTAATGATTTCAGGTCAAAAATCTTGAACTTCCTCTTGATTGGATCTTCCTACAAGATAATGATCCTAAGCACACTGAAAATTCTATAAAGAAATGGCTTGCTGAAAATAGCGTAAATATCCTGAAATGTCCAAATCAGTTCCATTTTTAAACCTAATCAAGAATCTGTGGTGTTATTTGAAAATTCAAATCCAATCAAGCACACCAACAAACATCCTGGATCTGAAGACCATATGTGAAGAAGAATGAAATAAAATACCAACTAAAATTCGCAAATCATTAATGGAGAAATACAGGAAGATGTTGGTTGCTGTAGAAGTGAATAATGGTTATTCTACAAAGTACTAAATGAAGATTATGTATTATTTTTTGTATTGTATGAATACTTTTTTCATCCATTAAAATGGATAAACAGGATTTATTTTTATTAAATCAAATTTTCTTCTGTTTTCTGTGCATATTTAGTTATCATGCATCTGTGTACAGTTAATTATATGAAAAGTATGTTTATTCATTAGTTGGAAATAGAATAAATTAAAAATCTGTATGTGTACAAATAGGTTTCCCCTACTAAATATATATATATATATATATATATATATATATATATATATATATATACTTACCATAAATATATTCTGATACTTCAGGATATTTGTTGTGTCTATAAATTTAGCCATAATAGGTTTTATTTTATAATTTTGTAAGTCATTATCATTTGGCAAGTTAACTGGACTACTGAATGCGTTGTGATGCTTTTATTGTTGACACATTTTGTCCAATTTTACATCTTTCTTCACGTGTACAATGCATAAAGACAGAGAGGGTTACTTTATTTTATTTATTGATGAATAGAAAATAAACAGTGGCTAATGTAACTACACTTTGGCTTATTCCCAGCACTGGGAACCATAAAGATGTTGCCAAGCTCCTATTTCTTTAGTAATTACTATTTTTGAGAGGTGTGTGTGTGAGATGTCTCTTCTTGCTTACATATTATACACATGAAGGAGGCTGTAGAATGGATCAGCCAAGAATATTATGGTAACAACAAAACAATACAAAAGATTAAGTTTTATATTCTGAACAATTCTTGGAATAAATTTTGCTTCTTCATTTTATGATTTACATTTTTAGTACATGTTAAGATAGAAGTCATGGTCAAATGCAAAATAAATAACACAACTGTCCAGTGAACAGAATTAATAATATTTGCAATAGAAAGAAAGAGGGGCAAAAATTAAATATCAGGCAAGCAATATAAGTAAAGTAAATTCACAGGTAAGAAAGCAAAAGGTTTTATAAACCAGAAATTAGTGTCTCCACAGAAAAGCTAGGTCAGACAAATGAACCCAATGATCTTCCATGTAGATATTGTAGATCTGGACTGAGTCAAGTTGTAAATTTTATTGATTAAGAAAAGTATCCCATCATACATTTTGTGGATTATTTTGCCTATAAAAAGAAAGGAGAAAAAATTCCATACAGATTGTAAATCAACAGTACAAAAATCCAATTTTTTTGTAATTATGCTGTAAATGAATAAAAAATGTTTTCTTGTAAAAATCTGTGTTAACAGTTATTATTGATCATGTTTATGAAGCTTTAGATATTAATGGCAAGGCTTGGGCTGTGACTTTAGATATTTGGCATGCTAACCTTCTTTACAAGTTTATGGTCAATGGTGTCTCTGGCAGAATATTCAACTTTATACAATCTTTCTTAACAGATCATGTAATAAAAGTAATGTTGAATAGCCACTCTTCTAGATCCTTTCACATTAAAGTGTGTGTGGGGGGGTCTCCAGGCTCTAATATTGGACCATTGTTATTTCTTATTTTCATCAACAGTCTTCCCAATGTCATCCGTTCCAAACTTTGTATTTATGCTGATGATACAACTAAAATCTATATATTTAAAGATATTTCTAAAATCTTTATATTTCTAAAAAAATATGGAGAAAAGCAAGATGGATTAATGAGAAGAGTCTAATGATGAAAAAAAAAATGTTTTTTAAACTTAAAAATATAAAAAATCTTTTGTCAAAGAATTCCTCAAAAACAGGCAATTTTAACAGTTGCAATGTTAGCTGGAAACTTTATTCCAGCTTTATCATTATGTCTGAAACAATTATGTGAAAATAGATCAATATGCCTGTAGACAGACACTGTTATCCGGTGAATTTTGATCCAAAATTTTCATTGTATAATGTCTGGTCTTTGTGCATAATAGATAGATATTGTGCCAAAGAAGGCAACTGATTATATTTGTTGTATAAAAGGCTTTTTACATCATTAAGCTATGAACATATGTAAATAGTAAGAAAAAGAAATAAATCTTTGGTTAAATTAACAAATCTAAATTATTTAATAGAACTTAAAATAATTAAAAATTTTTTTTTCCAGTTTTCATATCCCCACCCCTTCAAAGGACAAATGTATTTTTAGGTAAAATTTGGATTTTTTAGCAACAAATTTACGATAACCTACCTTCCAAATTATTCTTAGGATATAAAAATGACTTGTAGGTTATTTTTTTTTTTTTATATTCCATAAAGACTTTTTAGCACTGCAATTTTAGAATTGTGGTTCTACAGAAGAATGCTGAGGATACCATTTTAGAGAAAATGGAAACAAAAAGGAAACTTATACTTAACATCAGGAAGAGACAGTTGAAACTTCTGGGGCACATAATGAGGAAGGAGGGCTTGTAAAATCTGATGCTCACAGGACAGATTGAGGACAGAGAGGAAAACAGCACATAACATACTTGATGAGCTTAAGTAAATGGTTGGTGGAACAGAGTTTGGGAGAAATAACAAAAAGACAAAATTTATTCAGAGCTACAAAAGACAGGAAATTGTGGAGAACCATGAATGCCTATGTCCTGTGAGGACAGGATGCATAAAGAAGAATTTTAATCCAATTAAGTGAATGTTTAGACTCAAATTTGAATGATTTTAATATGGAAAAAATAACTTATTCGCTAAATAAATGTTGTTTAAAAAAAGTATGGTTGGTTGTTTAACGACATCTATTATTATGGTAGTACTTTATATCAATATCACCAAATATTTTTTTTTTTTTTTTTGCTGCAACCATAAACATGGAATGTTTTGGGGTGGAGGCTGGTGACTCTGTCATAATTTTGGTGTTTTTTTGTTTTTTTTCCATTTACTTTTATCTAATGTCTTTTATTAAATTTTACTTTAATAAATAATAATTCTTGATGTTTTTTACATTAGTTGGAGAAAACAAAAGACAAATCCATGTAAATATATAAGAGGCACATTACAGAACCATGTCAGTTTAGCCCCATGGTTCTTAATCCTTTTTTTTTTCCCCAGTTCACCATTTTTACCAAATGTCAGAATGTCATTCCCCACTTTCTAACATTGTCTGACTGAAAAGATGTATTCCAAATAATATGCATATATTATTGAAAAATCTTCATTCTTTTTCACATTAGTACATATACATTTACAAAAGATTTTTCCCTTCCTCCTGAAACCCTGAAATTTCCCCCTGACTGGGGGGGGGGGTGCTGTGGTTCCTCCCTGGTTGAGAACTCCTGGTTTAGCCAAAACAACATTGACAAAAGTGAATAAGAAATGATACTGTAATTGCATCAGCATCTAGCTACTTTGGCATACAAGTATTAGACATGAACAGACTGGAATACATCAACAGATTTACACATTTATTGATGCTTAATTATTCATAACTATTTTTCTGTTTCAATGATATTCCTAAATTTTGATGTTAATATATTTGCACTATTTTCTATGTTTCCTATCTTTTTTTTTTTTCTCAGCCTTCACATGACCTTCAGGAGCCTCATTTCAGTTCCTGTTTGGGAACCATTGCTTTATAGAATATGATTGCTAAAATATCTTTGTATATTTATTTTGCTTTCATTGTAAGATATTTTAACATTTTTAAAGTTTGGATGCAATCATTGCAGAAATCTGACAAGCAGGAAAAAAATAAGTTCTTAAAAATTGCTTCTCAAAATGATTATGAACCTGATCTAGAATAATGACTGCTGAACATTACATTGATCAATTTGCTTTTTTATGACTTGTCAACCTTTTGATGGTTATTTAAAGTCGGAAAATATTTTTAGATTTTAAAATGTTTTTGGAGTTAATGATTTTCTGATACAAGTCTACTAATTAAACCATTGCTTGGAGAGGAAGAAGTGGATTCATTTCCAAAGGGTATTTGCATGTAAGTGAATATAACAAACATGACTGGAATTGGGACTCAGCTCACTGATTTCCAATTCTGGGCTGTTATCCATTGTACCACCTGCACATCCAAGATTACAACAGCTGATATTCCCAAGTGGTCACCCATCCAGATACTGACCAGGCTCAACCTTGCTTAACTTCAGTAATCACATGAAAACCCATGTTTCAATGTGTTATGTCTATAAGCCCAATTGTATTAGATGTTTTTTTTTTGTCTTGTTTTAGTTATGGAAGCAATTTACTTGATTAACATATTTTGCATATCCTTTTATATTTATTACTTCAAAATGTTATTTTTAATGGATACCGGTGTTTGAAAGCGATGCCCCATTTTTTATTTTAAGCAATATGTATTACGTCTATCAGCCTGTGCATTTGAAGAAAGTTAACAAAGAAAATGTGGTCTCTGGCAGGGTTCAAACCTGCGTTGACTTTTGTAGGAGAGACCTCCATTTAATCTATCTTGCTTTAGATCGCTTGGTTCTTTCTACCCCTTTTAAGGAATGCACACTTTGATTGAAATTAGGCTTGCATATGTATGTTCTGACATTGTGCCTATCAATTTTATAAAAAAGACTTGTCCATTGGATTGATCTGCTAAAGACAATACAGGGATTTTTTTTTTTTTATCTTGCACATAAACTTGTTTAGATTATGCACTATAAGCACTACAGGGACATTAAGTAGAAAAACTATATGATCAGTTTTGTCTTTTTTTTGCAGATACAAAAGTTTTCTTTTGAAAACAAATTATCATGAAATAAAGATGAAAGATTGTAAGTTTTGACAAATAATATAAATCATATTCAAGATCAATAATGCATTAATGTATTAAATCTGGTTATATTAGGTTGTTACATAAATTAGTAGTCCTAGATATGACGATAAACTACATCCGGCAGCAAGGCCTCTGATCGGGAGATTAGAAGTTTTAAGGAGCATGGGACTACTTCTTAATTGCTGTTGTTCCTTGCTTCCAGGGTGGTAGCACCTGTTAGGGTTCCTGCTATGGGAAAATAGTGAAATCCAAACAAAACACTATAAAAGTATTAAAAAAAACATATAATCTTAGTAAAATGAACAACAATACATTTTATTTGTATTTGAAGTCATACAGCTGCATTCAAAATATTTAGATTTCAGCATTATATTTAATGCCAAAATCTAAATAGAGGCTGATATGCTTCTAAATCAATCAACCAATCAACATGAAAGAACTCTTTCATGACATTAACCCATATAATATCCTACAATTTCTTAAAGATATCAAACTGTATTCCAAATATAACTTCAACAAAACTACAACATAAAACACATTACCGCTTCAAGTAATTATGTCCACACAAATGCATATATATACAAAAGCTGAGTATCATTTACCATATATTCAATTGTGAAAGCAGAATATATCATATTTTTATAACTTCAAAGTTACCAAGAAAATCAAATTTTGGTATTAAATGACCCATAAGGAGTTGATATGCCATTAAATAAATATAAATTTGTTTGTTTTTCAGATGCACTTCTGCCTTGTTTTGGAGTGTTACCTGCTTAATATTCATGTAAAGACACCATTGGTGGCAATGGAGGAGTGCTAGATTTTCTGAAACTTATCCATTGAGTGCTAGATTTTGAGTGACCATAACATAACAGCTTGCCATCTTTTAAGCAAATTCCCTAGTGGTCTGGTGTGGTGGTTCTTTAATTAGAGTGTGCAATTGGTTCCCATCAGAAAACGGAGAGTCTGTGAGTTTTAACTTCCCTCTCCTTGAAATGAGAAAGCCATTTCTGTGCCATTCTTTCAGTAATGAAATCATCACCCTACACAGCACAAATGTCTCAAGCAGCTTTGGTTGCTTGGTAACCTTGATTAAAAGCAAAGAGATTATGTTGATCATGCTCATTCTTGTATATTTGGCATGTCATCTCAAATGGGTGCCTAAACTGAAATAAAATTTCAATAACATTAAACAAAAGTTTCAGAGGATGACCAGAGTTACAAAGAAACAAAAAATGCTATGAAAGATTTTTCTTAGAGATCATTGGCAGAACACCAGAAAAAAAAAAAAAATAAACGAATATATATAATAACCTAATATTTGAAATGTGTATTTTTTGAAGTCATAAGACGTGTAGTTTATCATGATGTCTGGTTTCTGATAGTTGTTTTTACCTTTATCATACAAAACATGGGGCTTCAAGGAAAATACATTTGAAAATTTTTCTATTTTTTAACTAATGTTAACATTATTCAGACTATTTCCTTTTTTCTTTTCTTTAACTGAACCCTTTATTTTTAACTGCTGTATGGTTTTCTATTAGAGAAATAATGCTCAGGTATCAGTTTCTAATTAGTGCTCAATTAAAAGTACATTTGAAAATTGTCCAGTTACACTTCAATTTCACTGCATCTTGCTTTCTTTAGTGATGAGCAAACTTGATTGGAATTTCATAAAAACAAGATTTTTAATTTAAATGGTTAAACTATTGGTCTTCTATATTTATTAAGTTTTTACATTATTCAGACCCTTTATTTTGTCCTGTTCATCATGTTTTTGTCATCTTTTAACTGCTGTATTTTTCTATTAGAGAAATAACGTTTTGTTTCTAATTAGTGCTCAATTAAAAAGTACATTTGAAAACCCTTCTTGAGCAAGGATTGGAATTTTAAAATGGTTAAATAACTGAACCCTATATTTTACAACGTTTTGGCTTTGCTCACGTTTATTAGACTGTTCTATTTTGCTCATGTTTAATGATTGTCATCTTTTAACTGCTGTATGGTTTTCTATTAGAGAAATAATGCAAAGTTTCTAATTAGTGCTCAATTAAAAGTACATTTTGAAAATTGTCCAGTTACACTTAATTTCACTGCATCTTGCTTTCTTTAGTGATGAGCAAACTTGATTGGAATTTCAAGATTTTTAATGGTTAAATAGGATCACCATTATTCAGACTATTGTCCCTGCTCAATTAAACATTTGGAAATTTTGAACCCCTTTATTTTCTCAGATTGTTCTAGTGCCATGTTTAATGATTGTCATCTTTTAACTGCTGTATGGTTTTCTATTAGAGAAATAATGCGCAGGTATCAGTTTCTAATTAGTGCTCAATTAAAAGTACATTTGAAAATTGTCCAGGTTAGGATTTATTTATATTATCTTTATGAACCAACACAGAAACAGTTTTCATAATTCCAGTGTAGTTAAACATTGTTATTCACAATAGATTCCACTCTGATGATGAAATCCCAGGAAAATGGCCAATTGTAACTCCTGGCATCTCAAATTCAGTCACTTATTCACCAATGTGATGTGGCCTCCCCCTATCTTTTCTACAAATATTTTTATAGTAATTGTTCAGATAAGCTTTCCAACTTGGTTTCCTGACTACATGAATTTAAGCATACTTCTAGATTGGCAGCTAGATGTTTTTTAGTTATAAACTTCACTAATCTATCCATAACTTTGGGCTAATTGGCCTCTATTTCAAATATTTTACCACAAAGCTATTACCAAGTATCTTTTTGGGGGTCAGTAGGGGCACTGACCTCATCTGTTGTCAGTTATTTCAATTCTTTGTGTTATGATTTCATTTGCCTTCTCTTTCAACCCCACTTCACCTTTCCTTATTAAATAACTAAATACTTTGTTTCCTTTTGGGTGCATTATTCAGGGGATGACCCTGGTGCCCTGTGTGTACAACAAACAGATAATCTATGATGGCCCTGTAGGTGAAGAGCCAGCGTAAGGTAGAATAGAAAAAAATAGTGTCATGTGGGAGGAGTAAATCAAGACAGGTGAATGTCTGAAGGGCAAATAGCAATTGCTGTGTAATTCATCTTCTAATTATTTGAGAATTATTCTGAAAAAGATCAAAACCTGTCAGTTTTTTTAGAAATTGTCTTAACTGCTTTCCTTTCCTCTCTGCACTGAATGCTACTGCTGTCATTTAAGTTGACTCTAGTCAATCGGCTTTCACATGTTCATTCAGACTCCCTAATTCTCCCACCCCACCTGATGTGATCCTAATTCATACCATTTTTATTGTAGTACAGGTTCAATCTGATTTCATTACTGTCTCAACTGTTATGTTTACCTGCTCCTTGTCCTAAACACTTCAATTTCACTGCATCTTGCTTTCTTTAGTGATGAGCAAACTTGATTGGAATTTCATAAAAACAAGATTTTTAATGCCTAAATTCAGGATCACTTAAGTTTTACATTATTCAGACTATTGTCTTCATCTTTATTACAATGTTTCGGACGTTGTACGCTCCTGCCTTCTTCAGGTGGTTGAAATTTTCACTCACTGGGGTAGACTGTTCTAGTTCCACGTGCCATGTTTAATGGATGTCAGTTATCTCCTGTTAATTTTCCCTCAGAAGTTCTCCACTGCCTTAACCGGGTATTAAACTCACACTGTCACTGGATCTAACCAACGCCTTTATCCACTGTGCCATGTGTCCTTGAAGATCTGTGTATGAATTTCTGCGTATTATAAACCTGATGTCTTCAGCAACCATTTTTACCAGTGCTCATATTGCAATTTTTGCTGTCATCATTGCATGTTTTTACCAGAGGTCATATTGCAACTTTGTTGTTATTATCGCTTTTCTCTGGCACTCCTTATTACTGGTTCCTATATTGTATTTATTTCTATGCTTGGTCAGTTCATTCTATAAAATAATAGTTTTAAAATTAAAAATGTTAGAAACCATAGAAATAGCTTGCTGACTATGCTCTTGAATATTGCATTTATTTTATGCAAGCTTTTATTTTTTTTAACTGTCCCCTTCTCTCCCTCACTATATATATACATTGGGGGAAAATAAATATTTGTACACCATGAAATTTTTTAATTAACATAGTTATAACTGATGAAAAAAAAATCCATACAATATTTCTACACTATTGCATAATGCTGCAATATGCAAAAAACAATTAGAAAACTTTGTTATAAATGAAATTGTGTTATTTATAAAAAATTTGAGGCCAAAAAGTATTTGTATGAAATATGTCCTTAATATCAAAAGGCTTAAATTACCTTTACATAAATCTTTGTAAGATTTTGATTTTTATCTTATTACCAGAACAATCTTGAACATTCCGCAATTCACTTATATAATTATCATCATGAGGAAAGGCAAGGAACTACCATATTCACAAAAT